CACCCTGAGTTACCTTTTGAAGGTTTGTCTTATTAATGGATGACACAGAGGCAGACCGAGAAGGGGGCTTAATGAAATCCTCAGCTAGGGAAATAATTTTACTTTTGTTTTCAGGAGAGTCTTTGAGAAGATCTCGGACTAATGTCCAATAGCTGAAAGTCTGAATGGGAACTGCCTCAGAGCCCTTATCCTTTAATAGTTCATTTAAACACTGTCACACTCAGTCCCATTTTTTAGGGTTGATTTCAGGACCATCTATAACAAACCAAGGACATTGGTCACTCACAAACACAAAAAAATTTACAAGATCTTTTTCCTTAACTCGGACTCCTCCTTCTCTGAGGGAGGCCTTCAAGTCCCTAATAAAAATAGCCTCCTTAGACCATTGCTGGCCCATTTTTTGAGACAGAGACCACTTACTTACCTCAGACCAGCAGCTCCTCATGAGTGGTGAGAGTGCAGATCAAATGACGGCGATCCGGTGCAGTTCCTTTCACTTTGTCTGATGTGCAGACGGTCGTGTCACCTTCCCCGTCTTACTCGCACATGGTTGGGTCACCTGCCGCCTCTGACGTGAACATGGTCGTTTGCCCCCACCTGCGGGGACCCTGTACAGGTAAAGCTCAAGGGGGACCACTCCCTGAAAGGAAAAATGGGTGAGAAAGAGTAGACGGAGCCCAAGCAAGTCCACTTGTCAAGGGTCGCTTTATTGTATTGCAAGCTTTCCTTATATACAGTTTGTATTTAGAAGGGGTTGAAGAAGTTGGTCAAGAGGTTACAGCATTTTTATGGGTATGGGGTGGGGGACTGAGCAACGTGACTGACCACCAGGTGTTCCAAGAGATTACTGCATGACTTATCTTTTCCGAGAACTGTTTGCAAGGGGAAGAGAAAGATAACCTTGCCATAAATTCTTTCTCAAGGTTACTAGTGCAGGCAGAATGTCCTGCTTAAGTCAACTGTTTATAGAGCCATATTATATTTTTTGGTAATGAATGTTGTTTCTCCAGCTCCCAACAAGTACTGACTGCTCTTGTAGAGGATCCAGAACCCACATGCCCAAATGGCAGCTAGCAACCGTCCATAACTCTGGTTCCAGGGGATCCAATGCCCTCCTCTGACCTCTGCAGGCATTGCATGACATGAGTATACTTATACACATGCAGGCAATGTACTCATACACATAAAAAAATTAAAAAATTAAAATTGCAGAGCTGGAGGAATAGCTCAGTAGTAGAGTACTTGCCTAGTATGCTGAAGGTCTTGTGTTAATCCCCACTGTATGCACATGTACTCATGTACACACACACACACACACACACACACACACACAGACACACACACACGGTTTATTCTCTTGGAGTCTTCTGTTCTGCCATAGCCATCATATTTGAACTTCTTAGCCAAAAATAAACTTGTTCTTTATAAGTAATCCAGTCTCTGATATTTTATTATAGACACACAAAACAGAGTAGGACACTGTTAGTTATAGCTTCTTTAAAATTTATTATTTAAAAAAATTTTATTGAATTTTTGTGTATTTCATACATAAAATCATTTTTATGTCCCCTTCCCCTTTGGCACCCCCCATAGTCCCCCCCCACACACTGGAGTTCATACATTTTGTCATTTGTGTTAAGGCCTATCATGTAAAATTAGTGTCCCCACATGTCCCTCAGTGCAAATTCATCCACTGGGATTTAGTCAGCCTATCTAGAGTCCCTCCTTTTACGAATATCAGCTCTTTCTCACCCAGCAATAATCAGCTGTCAATAATCCTTTGACTAGGATTGGGGCCTATTGTTCATTTCCACAGTTCTGTGCTGAGTTTTTGTCTGCTTAAGTTTGCATGGATCTTATGCATGCTGACACCATTGCTGTAGGCTTGTATGAGAGGGTCCCAGGTCCCTGTAGGCACCTATAGGTCTTGTGCCTCCTCCCTGGCTTGCAATCTTTCCACCCCCTCTGCAATGATCTCTGAGTCCTGGGTGGGTGGATTTTAATACAGGAGTCCTGTCCAAAGACCCACATTCTCTTCAGACTCTTAGCCTCTGCATTTTGGTCATTTGTGACCTTTTGTGTTTCTGGCCCTCTGTTGCATGAGGGAGCTTCATTAATGAAAATCGCGAGATGCATTAGTGTTCTCTTCATCTCTTGTTCTATGTTCTGTGAGCCTTAGGGGTAGAGGTTGTATCCTAGATATGCCACTTAGACTTGGGCAGTTCACAGACAATCTTTGTGACAAGTTGTGGACCTCTGTAATTATCTCTGTCTTTTGAAAAAGAAGCTTCTTAGCCGTGTTTGATGGTGCATGCCTTCAATCCCAGCAGTCGGGAGGCAGAGGCAGGTGGATCTCTGAGAGTTCAAGGCCAGCCTGGTCTACACAGCGAGCTCCAGGCCAGCCTGGTCTACACAGCGAGCTCCAGGCCAGCTGGGGCTACAGGGAGACCCTGCCTCAAAAAGAAACCTCTTTGATGGGTGGTGGGTAGTGACTGGGATACTTGTCTATAAATTTAAGGATCCATATTTTATACATAGTAAGAAATTACACTTGTCTAGAGATGGGACAGCCTTGGAGTTTTCTCTAAGATCTATGAAAATTTAATTTTATATTATTTCTATGGGCATGATGTATGTGTGTGAGGGTGGACACTCATGTGTCACAGTGTGCTTGTAGAGGTCAACTTTCAGGAGTTGGTTCTCTCTTTCCATGGTGGGATCTGGAGATCAAACTCAGGTTTGCATAGTAAGTGCTTTTACCCAATGAGTCATTTTACTGGTCCAATGGCAGTGTTTGTTATTGTATCATTGAACTTTAATACCTCAATATAGCAATAACAATTTTGTGGAAAAAAATATGAAACAGTTGTCAATATGATATCTGTTTTTATACTTAGGGAAAATTCAATCCATTTCACTTAAATTATTGAAAGTTGACTGATAGAGTAATAATCATAGCCCTATTGAATGTTTAAGATGTTGCAACACTGTTTTAAGAAGTTCATTACATAACAACCTTATGAGCTGGTTACTGTAAACAACCTGTAATTTTATTCATGAGAAAAAGGCAGGTTAAAAAAGGATTCATCTAATACCACAGAGTTAGAAAGGGGAGGACACAATTCAAATTCAGGGATTCATAGTCTAGGAACTGTGCTTTTTTTTCTCTCTTCTTTTTTTCAGTAGGATTGAGCCCTAGGCATGAAGCAGCTTTGACCACTGAGTCGGGCATCAAGCCAGGATGAACAAAGGACTACCATCTGCTCTGCCCCCAACTGATTTAAGAACAATACCACCAATGTGGTGTCTCTTTGCCCATTGCCAGGGGGTTTGGGACTGTACTTTAACCATTTATATGCTACTACTTTTTATGCAGCGTGACTAAAATATTCTGGTCGATTAAGGATATGACATAGTGATGCCCATGTCTATCATAGCCAGGAGATATGGGATGGAGGAGAGCACAGGCAACCAGATGAATGTTCTCTCTGTGCCAGATGAGTAAGGATCCAGCTCCTTTTATCTTTTTTTTAAACAAAACAAAACAAAAGAAAAAAACACCTCACTGTCCATATCAGTATTAGACCACCTGCTTTTTGGGGTGCAGTATCCAGGATAAGCATAGAAAACAGTGGAACAACATGCTATGGGGCAGTTCTGATGTGGTTTTCTGTGATTTTCAGTGTTTCTCTTTGATGTTTCAGGCATTACAAGATTTTCATGGCCATCTTTTTAAAAAATTATTTATTTTTATGTGTATGAGTGTTTTTCCCGCATGTATATAAGTGCACGCAATGCCCGTGGAGGCCAGAAAGTAGTTTTGTATTTCCTGGAACTAGAATTACAGACAGTTGTCAGCCACCATGTGGGTGCTGGGAACCGAACCTGGGTCCTCTGCAAGAGCAAACAGTGCTCTTAACCATTGAGCCATCTCTCCAGCCCCCAAACCTCTGCATTAGTTTTCAAGAAGCTTTCTTCAGTCCTCTCGAACAAGAATGCAAAATGTTCTTATAAAGGTAACTGGGAGTTTTCACACCACTCAAGGACTCTGGAAGAGAATGGAATCAGGAACTGGAAAGATGGTAGGTCTTTACTTCTTGAACTCTTTACCTTTTGTTGCTGCTTCTCTCCTAGTATGTGCTTTATTCTCTTCTCTGCATATCTGCTTTCTCTACTTCTCTGGCCTATGTGAGAAAAGTCCTATTGTATTACAGTACCCAAGTTTATATGGTATAGTTGTATAGCTTGTTTCTTTTTTAGACTAACTTATTATCTCTAAACCCTAATTCTAAATTCCTGCCAGAGGGTTTCTAGTTGGTGCAGTGTGGGTCAGCTGCCTTTTCTTGGACCAATTTCCCACAGCTAATGGAGAGAGATTCTGAAGAACAAACAACTGTTAGAAGTGAATCTCTGTAGAGCTTCTATGGCTAGAGGGTGGACACTTTTGTTCCTAAGCAAGTATAATCACTGTAGCTAGAGGTATACTTTGTATGTATCTACTCAGAGAATAAAAATGAATTTTAAGAGGTGCTAGAAGCAATCAGTAAATTGAATTAGAATGATTTTCTCCTTATGAAAGTTAATATTTACTTTTGTTATTGTCCCTCCCAGGCATCCTTGTGTTTTAGCATACTTAGACCTATATATACCAACTTATATTTTCTTTTCTTAGTCATGGCTTTAAAGAAACAATTCAAGAGGACACCTATTACCATGTATTACATATGCGACATCTTTGAGGACACATTTCTTTTTTTTAAAAAAAATATTTTGTTTGTATGTAAGTACACCCATGTCATGTAATGCCCACAGAGGTCAGAAGAAGGTGTCAGATCCCTAGAAACTGGAGTTATGGATGGTTGATTCCCATGTGGGTTCTGGGAATCAAACCCGGGTCCTCTGCAAGAGCAGCCAGTGCTCTTAACCGCTGAGCCATCTCTCCAGCTCTGAGAACTTACTTCTTATATAAAATCCAACTGTCTTTTTAATATTTTGGGACTAGGTTAAAAAGAGGGAAACTTCAACTTACTCCCACTCTCTATGCCTTCCCACCAACCCAAGAATCTGCTTCTGCCAAATACTTTGTTGGACTTTTGTGGGTAAGAATTGGAGTAAAATAGGCAATGATAGATTAGGGATATGGGGACCTAGTGAATCCAAGACCACCATCCCAAACTATCCCCCAAATATTCAGTCTGAAGTCTTCCATGTTATAATTAAAGCACTACCTTCTACTGAAATATCAGTCTTGACTTATTCCGTCTTCTCTCTGCTATTCTCTACCATAGCTAATGTATCAAGGCCTGTAACTCCAATACCAAAACATGCCAAATCTGCTCATTTCTTCCTATTTCTTCTTCTGCCATCCAAAGCCATGCACCATAATCCTTCACTGTGATAGACCCTTCACTGAGTTCCCTGTTTATAATTCTTACTTTCCCGTGATCCATTCCACAGGCAAGTAGAGTGATATTTACTTGTTTTTGAGATAAGGTCTCATATAGCACAGACTGGCCATGAACTTGCTACGTAGCTGAAGCTGGCCTTGAACTCATGAACCTCTTGCCGCTACCTCCCAAATGTTGGGATTACAGGTGTGTACCACTCTGCCTGGCTAGAGTAGTACATTTTAAATTACATTTAAAATGTAATTATGTAGCCATGATAGAATATCTTTTTGTCTTTTTGAGACAGGGTGTCCTTGTATCCCTCAGTGGACTGGAACTCATTGTGGTTGGCCTCAGTCTCACAGATCTCTGCCTCAAAAGTGCTGGGACGAAAGGTGTGCACCACCATACCTGGTTTATGATAGAATATCTTGGATAAGACATAGAAACTGGATAAAATACATGAGGTAAAAGTTCTAGATGTTACACAAGAAATGGCTCCAAAATGTGATCTCCAAGAGGACAAAAAAAAAAGGGGGTGGGGATAAAGCTTTAGAACAGTCTTGGCTTGATGCCTAGAGGGACTTTTTTCAGTGTGATACAAAAAGTAGAAAATGACAGTTTTGCCTAGTTAAGAAACAGATCAGAGTTGTAAAAGGCTACCATGCCATTTTTCTTTAAGTAGCAATGTACATTGAATGATTTGTGAATATTAAGTCAACCTTTCAGATAAATCACATTTGCTCAGATACGTTCTTTTTCTTATCTCCCCCAATTTTCTCACTGCCCATCATTCTCCAGAGTGTCTCTTGCTAAAATATCCCTTTAAATACTTTTTTTTTTTTAAGTGGGTTTGCCTTTTATGTTCTCTCTGGTTCTTCTTTGAAACCTCTTTGCCCATTTAACTTCCCTGGTGAAGAATCTGAAACACATATCTGTACAGTGTCTGATTTTGTGTTTTTCAAGCAGAAAATTATCTTCAGATATTAAGAAAACATTCAGTTTAGAATTTCTGGGTAAGATGGGAGCTTAGAAGCCACATTGAAGTAAGCGGCTGGTCAGGTAGGGAAACAGAGAGCAGGATTTTATCTCTCTACGGTCTCCATGATTCATTTACTTATCACCCAAATGTACTTCCCACGTAATCAGACTTGTAGATGCCACTATAACCACGATCGTTGTTGTAGACCCCCGCAGACCAGTCTTACAGACCTCTTCAGGAAAGCTACAGAAGCTACATCACTAAGGGATCTTATAGAAGGGGCTTCCAGTGACTATTGCCCCTGGTCTGCCCTCAACACCCCAGTAGGGAACTCAGGACAGCTTGAAAGATGCACAACCTACAAATGGTGCTCCAACTGCCACACATCAGCCCACTTGGCCTAATTGCAGCAATGGTAGCTGAGCGGAGATTATCTCAGCTATCATCAGCTCCTGGAACAGAGCAATTAATTCTTTTTCTTTCTTTTTTTTTTTTTCTGTCTTTTTGAAGCAGGATCTCCCTGTAGCCCCAGCTGTCCTGGAACTCACTATGTAGACCAGGCTGGCCTTGAACTCACGGGGATCTGCCTGCCTCTGCCTCCCAAGTGCTGGGACTGCAGGTGTGTGCCACCACGCCCGGCTCCAGAGCCAATTAATTCTATGAGTGAACTTAACACAGGTATGGTTCTGGGAATACCCAAGGGAAGAATTTGATAGGTGAAAATCAACAAAGCATAATCTGGAGGGAGAGCAATGAGGAGGAATTCCAGTGGTGAGACAAAATCCAATAAACAAGCCAGTCAGTATGGACATCCTATATCTCTACTCAGCTCTTGTTCTCTACCACAGCTACTGCCAATACTCCTTCTTCATATACTACCCAAGGTCATGTGGCAGACCAACAGTCCCCACTGTTCACACTTTATATTGTTTCTCTTTCTCTTTTTCCTTTCTCTATATGCTTTCCTCTTTTTCCTCCCAAAGAACATAGATGGCTTGTTTTACAGGGTTTCTGTGACAGCCTCCTGAAAGATGAGACTATGTTACCTGAGTACATAGCTTTACCCCTCTATTTTCAGTCTACCTTTAACCAAAACTCCACCCCCCCACCCATTCCTATTTTTGCCTTTACCATTCCCCTTTCTATGTGTGTTTATGTCCTCTACTTCTTACCTAGAAACCTAGTACTGATTTCTATTCCCACTGAGACTACTTCTTTTTCTTTTCACTTGTACCCACGATAACTTAGCGCATATAGTACTATCAGTGTCCTTTTAATCTTTTTTTTTTTTTTTTTGGGTCTCTTTGAGACAGGGTCTCCTTGTAGCCCCAGCTGTCCTGGAATTCACTATGTAGACCAGGCTGATCTTGAATTCACAGAGATCTGCTTGCCTCTGCCTCTTGAGTGCTGGGATTAAAGGCATGTGCCACCATGCCCAGCCCTTTTACTCTTTAAAACAAAACAATTGGTATAAACAATTGCTACTGTATTTTCATAGTGGGCTTACTGTTGGATAGTGATTAAGTTGCAGACAGTATTCAACTCTCAGGAGAGGAGTGGGGATAGAGTCTGGTCCTTTGTATACCAGTCTAACAGAGGAAAACCCCATCTCAACCTTACTACAACTAGTATCATAAACACTGCAGACATCTCCAAACAAAGGTAACTTTAATTAAAAAGCAACAATAACACCCCACCCATTAACAAACACTCTAACCCCAGATGAGCAAGTTTCAATGCGAAAACACAGGAAGCATGAAAAACCTAAGACAACATATTTTCCAAAAATTATCAATCTCATAGTATTCCCCAGTAAGAGTGACTTAGATGAAAGTTCCAAGAAAACACAAACGGCTGAATGAATTAAAAATTTCAATTCAGGATATGAAAATCAAATTTAACAAAAAGAAGCACTGAAGGAAGAAAACTGACATTATGGTGATAAAAAATTCAGTATCTCA